GGAACAGGATTATTTACTAAATTTCCTAATATTGAACCATTCCTGGAGTGGCATCCTTTTCATGTCTTGCTAATTTATTTTTGTTTACATTAAACACTTTTGCATTAATATTCAGAACTGAGATTTGTTTGTAGTGGATATTTGTTGGTCATCTTTGACATATCTTGATACAGAATATTGATTGAGACTTAATGACAAAAGAATTGAGAAGATTTCTTTCCCCTTGTTTCTGGCTCTCTCCATCATGGCGGACAAGCAGAGTTGAATGACTCTCGATATTTTTGCATGTAAAGTAATTGTAGTTTTACCTACAGGAAGAAGAAGGAAGTACCGGCAAATCACAAAAAACTTCCTGGCTCCAAGATTGTGTTTTATCCTTATCACCAACCAACGACCTTATGGTTATAGCTCGGGAACAGAAAGCTGTGTTTCTAGTGCGTAAGTATCCATTATTTTTCAGGGGTCTTTATTGTAATGCATAGAATAGAACAGCAAATGGGTTGGATAGAAAGAAAAAATGTTCTTTCTAGTGTATGCATGATATGGTGGCATTCTACAGTTTATTTTATGTATGATATAACGCTTTTAATTTCCTTTTTTTTATTTTTTTATTCCTCTCTATCTTTTTTCCCCTTTCTTTTCTATTGTGTTTGTTTCCTCTTGATTTTCTTTCTTGGCTGCAGGCACTTTAGCTATCTCTCTGTGGCACTGCAGAGAGGGTACTGGGCATTGGCCAGTTTTTACAAAGGGCAGTCAGAGCTAAAAAGGCCACTGCCCCCTTCTTAGTAATAATGTGAGTGCGGTGATTTTCAACTATAATTTGAAAACTCACAGTACAGTAGTTTCCTATTTGGGGCCAAATTTTCAACTTATAATTTTTGTTGAAGATTAAAATTAAGCTTTATGTATATATAGGGTATGAAAAACCTCACTGATCAAAATGAGTTCATACATTAAATGGCCATGGGATGGTCCTGTAAAGCAGAGTTACCCTCCAGTAGCATGAATCTAATAGAAA